GACAAAAAACCAAAAAAGCAAAGAAGTTCACCACCGTAATTATCGACATCCTCTCATCCATCCACCGCCATTACCATATACCCGTTGTAAAGTTTTACTGTGTCAATGGTGTTGAAGTAATTATCCATAACCAACATAAGGATTAAAAACAAAACAAACAGTAAACAAGTAAATGGGCTTAAGGCTCCAGCGGCAACAACAAAAAGATTATTTTTAATATTTGTAAACCATTGTAATATCTCACTCACCTGGGGCGATAACTCACTGTAACTTACCACCAAAGCTCTAAAGAGATTAGTAAGAAAAAAAACCATAGGAGAATAAAAACTAAAAAGCAATATTTTGTACAAATTTATATAATCTTTGTAGGTTTGTTTTGTTTCTTTTTGTATTATGCAACTTTTTCGTGGTTCTATGAAAATATTAAATAAAAAACAAATAATCATCTCCCCAAAATCTCCCGTAAATCTAGATTTAAGCCGCCACGAGTTTTAAGCGCCGACTCTTGTGTTATTTCATTTTCAACATACAAGAGAGACTGTATGCCAAAGTTTATGTTCTGACAACTAATCCCAGAGAAAACTCACTATTTGGAAAATAATGTTTTGCAGCTTCTTTCTAAAGACGGTTCTAAAAGTGATAACCTTTCCCCTGCTTATGTGCTGGTAGACACCTCAAGATAGGTCCAAGTTAATCATATCCTACACGAAAGCGCGTCGACATTTACAACCGAAATTACACCTACTCTCTAGGCTATACCGCTTATCGTCACAAGCCAATTTGTCGGTCATAAAAGCTGTCCGTAATCCACCTTAAGAAACCTACTTCTCCAATCTGCAATTGTGGGCGAAGTCTTATGACGGAACATGTGTTTAATGAATGCCAAAACTTTTCAAATAGTCAAAGACGGATTTTCGAACTGTGTAATCCTGTGAGCATCTTGAAAATACCAAGGGAACATAATAACGACTAAAAATATGGGATCTTAAGCGAATTTGTTACTTGCACAGAGAATTCATTGATCGTTTTCGCTTTTTTTTTCTTTTTTGCTGGATTATGCTGGATTAGATACCCTGCGCCACTTCGTCTTACTAATTTTTCAATAATTCATCAAAAATTACACATTATTTCCATGCAAAGGGCAGACATCGGAAGGGTAGACAGGTGTAGATTGATTCAGAAAACGAGGTATAATAAAAGATGGATCCACCTTAACCCCTTGTGTATGAGAAAAAAATGGAAATTTCACATTCCCCCCCGTTAGAAAAGCAGAGGTTTTAGATAGTGCCTCGCACTCACCAGAGGGGAGATGCAACCACAACGAATCTCGTCTGGTACCCGAGGACTTAATATTCCTCCGGGCAACGTGTGCGCCGACTACGGCACCGTATGTTGCGAGGATTATTAACCTCGGGGAGTCCGTGTGCCATCGGGCACCATGGGATTAAACCCACCTTATCCCCCCCGTTCAGTAAAGAGAAATTTCAGTGAAGATTTGGAAACGCTAAAGTGAACACTTGAAAAATATACGACCACAATACAAATTTTGTTTATATTATAGAGTAAAACGTATTAAAAGAGTTAAAGCAGAGAGTTGAGAATTTTTAGTTAAAAAGATTGCGGAAATCTATCGATTCCTTATCTTTCAATGCAATTTTGCTGGTTAAAGGAAACGGTGAAAACTTTTCAAGTGTGATGTACGCGTGATTTTTTTTCTTATGTTTTCTATGTAGACGGAAGGAATTTATTGCAACTAACTTTTCTTTGTGTTTCACTGTCTCGTCCTGTTTTCCTCTCCATCCTTCCTTTTCGCCTTTTATTGTTCTTAGCACGTTTGTGGTTTTGAAAGTTTGTTTCTTTCAAAGGTAAAGAAAATGAAAATTTTCAAGTTATGCTTTATTCTTTTCAATTTGTTGTCATTTACGTTCACTTTATTCCTTAGGATCGTCGTGACGATTTGAAATTGATTATCAACGCTGTTGATAAAAGTTAACAAATGCCGGAGGTTAGCTGCACCATGATAATGCTTTGGAATATCGTTTTTTTTTAGATCAAAAGCAATTTACAAACCCACGCCGATCATGTTGAACTATCATTAGTGGGAATTAAAATCGCTATCAAAGCTAAACAACGTGTAAATGCTGGTAAAGGTAAGTGAGTCTCAAAAGTATTAAGAACGTTCTGCTGAGGAACGTCCATTAGTGTTTCCGTTGGTTGTCGTCCTCCTCAAAGTCATTTATTTTTACCTTTTAGTATTTTGTTACATTCTCTAGAATACCTTTGTTATGTCAAGCTTTGCATAATTTATTGCACATTTTTATTTGTTCGAACAACAAACGCTCTGCCTGTAAACAATTGTAGACAATCGCTTATAACAAAGATAAATGCAAATGGAAAAGTATTTCTCCTTACCTTGCTAGTCAAAGAGAAGGGAAACGAGGTGAAGTGAGTTCAATAATATCTAGTTTCCTTCTTTCCTTTGCTTTTGTATGCCAGTCAGAAATTTATTATATTTTTCTCTCTAATGTCGATAACATTAAACTTGTGAAGTTACGTGATTGTCGAAAATTACAAAACTTTAAAATTATTATTAGAAAATTCACAAAATATAGTGGTTTATGGTCACTTTCTAAGTATGCACGTCTGCTCATTTTTCCACAATCGTGGTTTCTTTCTCCACAGCTTTTTTACCTTTCTTACTTTCGTGTGCCCTTCGATCCAGACCCTCCATTTTTCTTAGACATCCTCTGAGTCTCCTTCCCCCCCCATTTTTAATAAAGAGAAAAGAAAGCTTTATATTCCTCCTTACTTCCTTACTTTGCTGCAGTGACATTATAGAACCTATAATTTAGAGATCGAAAAACCCTTTTGCAAAGTGCGCAGAAGAAGATCGAGCCTACAATTTACTGAGATTTCCGTTCCTCGAATTAAAAATACATTGAACAATGTTTATTAGGAACTCTGATGTAATCTATTTAGTCTCTTTTATATAGAAATGTTCCTTTAGCCGTTTGTTCCGACAGTTATGAATTTGTTACCGTTGAAGCTTTCGGGAAACTTTGGCAAATGCAAAGTTTTGCGCATTCGTTGCTAACGATTGTGACATTCGTTATTCCCAAGCAAACTAGAGCCAATTAAACGTTCATCTCTTCCAACACATCCCTGTCGCCATAGCAAGCTATAATGAAAAAGACATAATTGTGGCATATTTTTCATAATCTTATACGAGGCGTACATAATGTGATCTGAAGCTTTATGGAAGCTTTTCTGTTGCGTGGGTAGACCGAAAAACTTTATTTCGAGCTTTCTTTGCTACCACGTCTTATAAACTTGACATTAGCTTTATTTGATAGGTTATAGTTTGACTATTAAAACCGCTTCGGTTAGACTTCACAGGTCATTCAAGAATAAATGAAAAGTAATAATACAAAATACATATCCAACCATGCTTCAACTAGGGATTTTAATCAAATGTAAATAATTTAAAATGTGGTCGAATATAGTATAATTTCTCTATTCAAGTAAACAATGAAAAGACGGGCAAAACTTATGCAAAACAAACCTTTTGTACCCATCGCCGATAAACGAGGCGGTATATTCATTTTACCAAGACGTTTGCAACATCAAGAAGAAATTTTTAGCTTCCATAAAGCACGCATATCCATGGTCGGTCCATCAAATTCTAGATCAAGTTAAGTACATCCGCCTGTAATGTGTGCGGCAAACATTTCGCTGTTCGCAACCATGCATAAGCCGTGCTACCAAGATTAAAAGTTTTTGCACATAGCTTGGCATCGAAATTGAGCCAAAGCAATGGAAGGTCACGACCATAGTCAACATAACCAGAGACCATTTCTGTTTTCAAAAATAAACAGATTGGAATTGATTTCTGCTCTGTGGCTGTTTATAAATAGAAAAAGCTTCATAGATCTTATAAGATCTCCTGTAGTAAATACACTCGTGATCGCAATATTGCAGATATTTGCTTTAAATTTCGCAAAAAAATTCAAAGTCGCCAAAAGCACACTTCAGCAGTGCAATATAAGAGATTGATTGGGAAATCCGGAATTTTCGGGTTACTTTCTCATAAACTCCAACAGCCACACGATATAAGTTTGCACTCGTATTTTGAAAGCTTAGAAAAAATCAGTCACACCCAATATGGAAATTTAGTCCTTTTTGGGAGAATTGTGACGGGTATAAAAGATTCGGCCGCACCCGCATATGATTTTCTTATAGTTCAAATAGATAGTTTAGTCTGTCCTTCAATCCATTTTTAGCACGTCCCGTAGATTCTGAAGTCCATGCTTTTGCTTTAATTTTTTCTTACCTTCCAGCACTCATCCGATTCACAATTTTAAAGAATTCGACTATCGTATCATGTGGAAGCTTCTCGCCAATATGAGCTTGATTCTGCATCATTCTAGCACACAGTTTGGCGAGACATTCAGAAGAAAAAAATCTACACCAAAAAGGAAGAAAAACAAGCAACCTGCACCAAAAAGGAACAAGAACAAGCAACCTTGCCTGTCAGTGCGCAACTAAAAGTAACCATAGTTCGACACAATATTGTATAACAGAAATAGATGGCATAGATTTGGACGATAGCTCAACGATAGCGTATGCGTTTGCACGATATCAAGCGTAAAACGTCACACTTTAGCTCTCCTTCGCATTACTTTATTACACGTCCACCAATAATACAACATATATTCCATTGTAAATGCATCGAACGAGGAGTCCAATTCGATACGAAGGCAATGGAGCACCATAGGACCAAAATGTGATTGTATCATTTTGATCTTTCGTATCGTATGATAGCTCGAGAGAACCGCAAACCGACCCGAGTACGAAAAATTTAGACAATATTTTATAATAAACAGCCAACAGCACTACGTCTAGTGAAGAACAAATAATTTTCCATTGTTATGCTTATGTTTCAAGATGTAGAAATAAATTACGTAAAATATATGAAGAATTTTTATTCTCATTCGCACTATAGTCCTTTATCTTGCAGACTCGAAGACTTGAAAAGGTTCATAAGTAACGAGCTCTGCACTTTGCAATCATTTAACGTAAGTGATTGAAAATGTCAAGCAAACGCTCATGATCATGCTTAACAATTCACGATGACCTAAGCACACATCTGTTTTTCGTTAAATTCCCGCCAAAAATCGGAGTACTTGGGCGCGAGGCCACCTTTACATCACTGTAGAACCGGTCTATTAAGTTTGTTTCAAGTCCAGAAGGACTACAAGCGATCTCTATAAGAATTATAAATACAAATTTTTTGCAGGATTTATTCTTACTTTAGTGGTGCAGTTCCTCCAACAAGAAAAACACTCCGTTTTAGAGCTGAATCTAAAGTTTTATTGTGTTCATGCTTAAAATTAAATATAAAAATTCTGTTTGAAAGACTTCAATTTATCTCTCTAGTTATATTTTTGTAAAAATGTGTAATTTTTGAAAAACATTACTACAATCTACTTTGTGGGGGGGGTGTACTTAAATCATAATTTAATATTGAACGGAAACTTGGATATGGATTCTCATATACTAAAAGAAAAATGCTTTTATAAAAAATAAAGTAATAAGTTTACTCATCGCTTTCTTCGTAAGCAGGGCTGCTGGGTGAATAAGCTGGACTGGTAGGTGAATAACCATGAGATGTTGGCGAGTATATAGGAGAGGTGGGTGAATAGTTCCGGGTTGGGGTATAACTCGGAGATGTTGGGGAATATTTAGTACTAGGTGAATAGCTGGACATATTGGGTGAATAACGTGGTGAACTTGCCGAATAGCTGGAGCCAGTAGGACTGTATTGATTGGCTGGCGAATGCTGCGGCGAAGTGGGTGAGTATAGAGGTGAAGTGGGAGAATACTTCGGAGAAGCTGGAGAATATTGTGGAGACGCTGGTGTATATTGCGGTGAGCCTGGGGACCCGTCATATGATGGTGAAGGCGGTGAGTACTTAGGTGATGTCGGTGAGTATTTAGCACCAGATTGGGAATAAGCAGGCGAGGCGGGGGAATATTGAGGCGATGCGGAAAAATTGGGAGACGTAGGCGAATAAGAAGGTGTTACCGGAGTGTAAGTAGGTGAAGTAGGGGAATAAGATGGCGATGTAGGAGAGTACGCCGGTGAAGTAGGCGAATATGACGGGCTAGTCGGTGAATAAGAAGGTGAAGATGGTGAATAAGAAGGAGAATTAGGTGAAAAATTAGAGGAAGTAGGCGAATAAGCACTAGTGGGGGAATATAGATTTGTGCCACTACCGGAAAACGAAGGGCTTGAAGTCGGATAATTTGAAGTAGGTGAATAGACAGGTGAAGAGGGTGAATAACTAGTTGAAGGCGAATAACCGGTGGCTTGAGGATTGAAACCGGGCGTTGTAGTTCGCGGGCTAGCTGCGTAGACCGGACTGGTTGGTGAGTAATGCGGACTGAGGGGTGAATAGTTCGGTGAAGCACCACCCGGGGAAGAAGTCGTATAATTCGGACTATTTGGCGAATAAGACGGAGAGGCACTAGGCGAAGATGGGTAGTACGGCGAGGTTGAAGGCCCAGGCGAGCTAGGCGAAGAACCGGGATGAGCAGGAGACCAACTGGGTGATAAACCTGAAGCATCTGAAGCCGCTGAAGGCGAAAAGCTGGGACCCGGGGTCATGCCCAACACTGAAATTTATGTAAACAATAAAACAATAAAGACAATTGTCAATTGCTAAAACATTCAACTCACAATGTCCGGAAGGAGAGCAATATCTAGGTGTACCGCAATTCACCCACGGAGTCATAGGCGGTGACATGCTAGGCGTAGCACCAGCTCCAAAAAACATGGCGGAACCGCCCAACATACTACTGCCCAATGTGCTGGGTATCTCAATACCATAACGACACTTTTCAGCATCCAGTAATAAATCGAAGCAACCTACAAAAGTAGTTACATAAATTCTTTTTTTTCGACTAGTAAAGCTTTACCACTAACCCGTGCCCATACGTGGCAATTGACCCATAATAATATTCTCCGACACACCTCTCATTGGATCAGTTTCAGCATGCGCTGAAGCATCCATTAATACGTCAACAGTTTCTTCAAATGAGCAACGCATCAAAGCACCAGTATCTTGTCTATTAATACCATGACGTGTAATGGCCATCAAATGACCTTTAGCTGTCATAACGTCACATAACAACGCCAAATGGCGATAATTCACGTAGAGGCCATAAAATTGCAATACGGCATTCATTTCCTTTTCAACTGATTTACGGACAGCTTCTATGCCCAGCACTTGAAATATTTCACAAATATCGTTGGAAGAAGTACGTACAGGATCTACATCTCTTTCTGATAGCACTTTCATCATAGAGGTACCATCAGTTTCTAGAAGCCATTCTCCGATAGCTTTAAATTCACCCGTTTCAGTAATAACGATACGTTTCTTACTGTCGGTCTGAGGCAAGTGCATATAAACTTTGCCTATAGCCTCAATACCTTGCAAAGTCATATCAGACAACATATTAGCTTCTATGCAACGTAAGAACATGTCGTCCTCCATTTTGTCAACTGCTTCTTCCTCATCTTGGAATTTGTTCTCCTCGTTGTTCATGATACGTATCCGCAGCACTAATTTGTCAGCGTTGTCATCATTGAATATGCAATTCAGATCATCACCGAAACCAGCATTAATTTTCTCAGCTATTTGCTCCATGGTTAATTTTTTGTCCGTCATACGTTTCCGATCCAATTCAATACGTAATAGCCATGGCGAAATGCGAGTTGGGTCGAAATCGGGCATTTCGTAATAAACATTGACGAATTCTTGATCTTCCGAAATCACAGTGCGCTGAGGATCAGGGTCATAATATATGGCTGTATTGGCTGTAACTTTCCGTAAGGTGGTATGTTCCAATCTACATAACACATTTTTAGCTTTTTCAGCATCTCTGGCAGCACCACCTGTCAGGAAAACTGTAAGCGAGGGCGCTTTCGGTTTCTTGGATATATTAATAATTTCTTTAAGACGTGGCACTCCTAAAGTAACATTTTTCGAAGAGACTCCAGCAAAATGGAAGGTATTCAGTGTCATTTGTGTGGCCGGTTCTCCCAAACTTTGGGCTGCCAAGGCGCCTACCATTTCGCCCGGATTGACTTGAGCCTGTTGAAATCTAGTTTCGATTTCACCAATCAACCATTCGAAAGCTTCAGTAGATAGACGGAATTCCTCAGCAACATATTTTGTACAAAGGGTCGAACGTATCAAACACTGAAACAGTAAAGTGGCATTTTTATTCGCCTGCTTTGATAGGCGATCGTTTCCGACTACGATTACACAACGACGTAATAGTTCGCGTATGCCATTAATGACTCGTAAAGGTGACAAGTCAGTCGGAATACGTTTATTAATGTGAAAAATTTTCTGAACATTCCAAATCATTCGCTGCAAGTTACAGGGCAAAACAACCTGCGAAGCAAAACTTATTAAATATAAGGAAATTGGGAACGTTTTTGATCTAATACCTTCGAGTCACCATTGGGGAATATTTCACGTAAAGAATCACGATCACGACACAGCTCATCCCATTCTACTTCTAGTTGCGGGAACGCAGTCCCGCTCTCACTAAGCTCTTTGATGACGTCATCGGTAAATACTTTGCGCATGTAACGCTCGTTTGACCAGTCGAATTTAAAACGTTTCTCAAATGCTTTATTCGACAATTTAACAGTGGGCAGATTTTGAAATTCTACAGTCTCACCGGCCAAACCGTCTTCTCCATAACGCAATTGAATTAATTGACCAACGGAATTACGAACTGTACCATCATAGTTAACCATTACAGATTCCATAGCCTTTATTAGACGACGCTGTATATAGCCGGTTTCGGCTGTCTTGACAGCGGTATCGATAAGACCTTCGCGACCGCCCATGGCGTGAAAATAATACTCAGAAGGAGTCAAGCCGGCTAGATAGGAGTTTTCCACGAAACCTCTGGATTCAGGGCCGTAATCATCTTTGATGAAATGTGGCAAAGTTCGTTTACGAAAACCATAAGGTATACGTTTGCCTTCAACATTCTGTTGTCCCACACAAGCAATAACCTGTGAGATATTAATATTGGAGCCTTTGGATCCAGATACCACCATGGCCTTTAGGTTATTATATTCCGTCAGAGATTTCTTGGCTGAGCCACCAGTTTTGTCACGAGCATCGTTCAAAATACGATTTACTTGATTTTCAAAAGTTTGACGTAATGTATTACCCGGCGTCGGTTCTAATTCCATATTGTGAGCCTTTTGAATGACGTTAATCACATCATCTTTAGCTTTCTTAATGGCGAGCTGAATTTCGTTGTAAGTCTGCGGATCAGCAATTGTATCACCAATACCAATACTATGGCCCTCCAATAATAGCCAGTTGTTGATCACAGTCTGAATGTTGCCATAAAAACGGCCAGCTATTTCATGACCCAATTCCAGAAAGCAAATATGTAACAATGAACCAGCCGACGTACCCAAGGTCTTTTTACATAAAATGCCCATAATTAGTTCGCCATGCTCGACCATTACCTTAGTATCACCAGGAGAAATCCACTTATAAGGGCCATCGTCTTCATCGTCAGGATGAGTTGAGTGGGTGCGTATCATGTTAACATTCCCAGGAATAATCAAAGAAAACAATTGTTTACCAGTCCAAAGAGGGCGCGGCTTTAGAATGCAAGGCTGAGGCATTTTACCGTCCCAAGTGGGCAAAAACATTAATAAATTCATCATTTGCTCACGCGTTATAAAAACGTCACGCTTTGTCATTTTTCGTACCGCCGTTAAGGTATCTTGTACAATACCCATGACGGGTTTATTAGCCTAACAAAGAAGGTGTATTAAATGAGATGTGATTATCGAGAAAACAAAAGTATTTCGTTTACCTGTGGTGTTATAATCTGACGAGGTGTTATGTGTATATTTTCGACTTCAGCTCTAGTCTCCATAGATTGCGGTACATGTAAATTCATTTCATCGCCATCAAAATCTGCGTTATATGGGGAAGTACAAGATAAATTCATACGGAATGTAGACCATGGCAACACTTTAACACGATGACCCATCATACTCATTTTGTGCAGTGTAGGTTGACGATTGAATATAACCAAATCATCATCCCGCAAATGTCTTTCCACCTTATAGCCACATTGCAAATGTAAGTCAGAGGGTTTTGGGTGGAAACGCAAATCGATACGTTCACCATTGTCACGTACTATAAACTTTGCTCCTGGATATTGGGAATTGCCACGCCTTACCAGCTCTTGCATGCGATCGATATTAAAAGGTGTGACTAATTCAGGGAAAGTAAGATTTTGTGCTATTGACCTGGGTACACCGACTTGATCGATTCGCAGGTTTGGGTCGGGAGTAATAACAGTACGCGCAGAAAAATCAACTCGTTTACCCATCAAATTGCCTCGTATTCGGCCTTCTTTTCCCTTCAAACGTGCCTTAATGGCCTTTAGAGGCTTTCCTGATTTCTGCATAGCTCTAGGCATACCCGGCATATCATTGTCTACTAAAGTAGCAACATGAAACTGCAACATTTTAATATTTTCCTGTATAACGTGAGCAGCAGCACCGGAAGCTTCGTTTTTGCGCAGCTCATTGTTGCCTTTGATAATATCGGAGAGTTTATGAGTTAAATCATCTTGATTCTTGGCGGAACCGAACATAACGACTGCGGGTCGTACAGCTAAGGGCGGAACTGGCAAAACGGTGACAATCATCCAATCGGGGCGCGCATATTTCGGATCCATGCCCATTATAAAACATTCTTCATCAGTGATGTGTTTTAAGATTTCCCAAACTCTTTCAGCAGTAACTTGAATTTTTTTCTCCTGAGAATCTTCGTTAACATGTTTCCATTCCGCAGTTAATTCCAAACCAGTTCTTCTGATTGAAGGCTGATAATGCCCACAACCTCCGTGGCCGGGTTTTTTATTGGGATCAATGGTTTGTCCGTCTTTGGTCATATCCATGTCCTCGCCACCTTCGCAAATGGTCTTACCTTTGCATAAATCGTACACATACGCTAAACGTTTGCGCGGTTGTCCTTTCGTCTTCATAACTATTTCCTTAATTTTTGGATTGTGTGGCGAAACCAACATTTTAGAACAATAAAAACAAACGCAACGTAAGATTTTAATGGTTTTTGTGATGAAACCAATATGAAAAACAGGTTTAGCTAAGTCGATGTGGCCAAAATGCCCTGGACATTCGGTCATATTTCCAGCACACGTTTGACAACGAGAAGAACGGTCAATTGCACCCTGACGGGGGTCCATTAACCCTCCCAATTTAGGCCGGCCACCTTCCATGGTTTCGGCGAATTGTACCCCGCCTTCTGTCACAGACATACGGCGCTGCATAGTTAATAAAAAATTTGCGATATATTGTCTGATATATGTTTTGCAATACTCACAATTTCATCAGGTGACAAAATGCCAAACTGCACACGCTTTACTTGTCGCAGCGGGGCTTTAGAGTCGCTAGAAGCCATTCTTTAGCACAGAGTTCAACTTTTTCGTTTATTATTTTTTTTCTTTTTGCTGTTGGGTTAAGTAAAATTTGTCCACATAATAAACAGCAGTAATTATTAGCAAGAAATGTACACAAAACACCAAAAAAAAACTGCGGCCATTATAGATCAAGCCGATATATTAAGTGTGAATGTGGGGTGCTGTCGTTGAAAGTGATGTAAAAATAGTGTTACAAATTTTGGCTGAGAAAAAAAGAACGCTATAGAGATAATTTATGGTTGAACGTGAAAAAAAGAAAAAATTTTTCATGAATTAAAAAGATAAATTCGCTTTTCCAATAAGCAAGTTTAATAAAACTTTCTTGCTAAGCGCACCTTATGGGATTTCGATATTTTTTTTATTTCGTATACAATCGTTTTTGTCTACAACGGTTCGTGTGCGTATATTTTCCTTTAATTTGTTCCACCTCAAATCACTATATTTCACACAAAATATATTCATCCGGACATGATGGAGGGTAAATAAACTCGTTTAAACGGTTTTAGCAAATTTTACTCAAATTTCTTACCGCTTTTGTAAAATGAATTTTAGATAGACTCCAGAACACAATGAAAACACGAAGCAACTTTCATACTTGATAAACGCTGGATATTACAGCGTTGCCAGGCTTTAAAAATAAGAAATTTCTAAAAATAGTAATCGATTTGCAGCACTATAATCTTTTCTTTATATAAGTGAAAACACACAAGAATGCACCAACTAATATCTGTGGCCACATATCAGAGTTTTATGTCTAAGCTGAACGCATTGAAACGATTGAGTAAGCGTGTGCAAAAATTTTGCTTGAAATCGTTCCTTGGCCATGGAGCTTTGATTGTTAAGCTGAGCGCATTGAAAATAACGAGTAGAAATGTGTAAGTTTCAGACACAAAATGTGATAAAATGTGTGCGCTCCACGTAGAGTTCCGGTTAGAAATTCGTACAGAATTACTATTTATAACTTGGCTACACTTTCGTAACTCATGTAACTTCTTTAATTTTTAAAACAACAATACATATAAATAATTTAAAAAAGATTGATTTACTTAATATAAAAAATTAAGTCTACTAAATAAATTCCTAATATAAATATTAATTTTCTTTTATTTATCCAAATATTTCTTTTTTCAACTTAAATTTCTCTTCTTCTGTCGTTCTTTGTTTTACATTAACGATGTTGTTCTGTTTACGAATGGCATGACTTTATCTATAAAATAAAAATTTACCATCATTCACGCTGCTACAAAGAATTGAACTAATTCTACATAGAATTGGACGCACCTGCACTGCGAAATCACTAAGGAGTGGTCTATAAACGCCATTAATATGCCATCAAATTATGAAGATAAACATTAGCGAAACAAACTCTGCCGTTCTGGATTTCAGTTAATATACAGTAATTCATAAATATCTAGTTGCGATCACATAAATCTATTCTTTAGATCACATCATATACTACGGCTCTCATGAATGCAAATCCTTCTCTAGCGGCAAACTCTAATTTATTGTTTGCTATGACGGAAGCAAATGGGACACAATCTGCCTCCATCTACCACGTTGACGTTTGAGTATCCTTATAGAAATAATATATAATTTTTGATGTATTATACATTAAGCAAAGCGGTGCAGGTCATACAATAGAGGGCCATGCCCGATTATAGCATTTTTATTTGTTTTTAGTAATAATAGTTTTTCGTCTATAGCTTAATCCTTTGCTGTCCTGTTTCTTTTTCTCTATATGCAAGGTCGACAGGTAGTCGGAGTGGAAAAGGATTAACTAAGTTCTGGCAAATATTTATTATTCATAACAAAATAAACATTGAAAAAAGTTTCAATGACTCTTAAATAAATATATACATGGATAAATATTCGTGGTAGGTATCAATATTTTGTGGAGTAAAAAAAAAGAAAAGAGAAGAGGAAACAACAATAATTTACTTTAACTTGATGTGTTATTGAACTTCGTAGTTAATTCTATAAAAAGATATAGACTGAGGGTGAATTTTCGTAGTTGATCTGATACTGCTCTGCTCAGTGGTAATTTAAGAAAGCCAAAGAAAAACCACATAGTGGGGCACGATCCACCATTAAATAACCTACATCATGTTACAGTTATCCATATATTGCCTTTTCACAATAAGGTATTATAAGGAAAGTGGTTGTCAGAAGGCGTTAGTGTACCAAATTTAAACTGTTTTCATTTGCAGAATGTTAATAGTGACACAGAGAGACAGAGATGGAGAAAGGGAGAGTCCATAGCAAGAAACTCAATACATATAAACTGCTATTTTAGATGTTTTTAAAAATTCGAAGCTGAAAACAGCATAAAAATAAATAGAAAATAATATAATATTAACAGAATATATATAACACGCATCTGTTTATACAGTTTGCTAAATAGTAAATATTCCATAAATATATAAAAAGTTGACATTTACACTGAGACAAACTATAATATTTACTGGATTAGCAACGAAACAAGCAAAAACATTACAGTAGGTCACTGTGCACACATTAAAAACCTTACATCGCTTCGCTTAGTACTGTTATTCATGTAGCGTGGGAGGTGGTCGAAAAAGTGATCCGTTCCTAACCATTTTAATAGCATTCGTCCTTAAGAGAAAACGTGGCGGTGTTCAAATCTTACCAATACATCTCAAAACTTGCGACTTGTAGGTTGAATAAAAGAAAACAAGACAGACGGATAGACAGACAGACGGACGGACGGACGGATGGGCAGACGAGACTAGATCGATATAGTAAAAGGTGAAAGAAAACGAATTATCTAATAATTCGAAGGACCTACACACACATCTAGCAGCAAATTTTATGAGTACTGTGCAAGAAGAACACGAACTGTGGCCAGTTAAACAGTCGATCAAAAGCCATATTCCTTCTATCAGTACTCGAAGCAAAAGGAATTTTACAAAATTTCCTTGTTTGTGAACAATGCCAGTAGCTCTAATCCTAGAGTCGAAGATAGAAGTGAGCCACCAGAAGGAGAGCAAAGCCTGAACCCATCAACCTATTGCTTGCACATTCGATAGCAAAAGTTCTAAAGTCCAAAAATGTCAATCTACAACATGTTTTTACAATTGAAGCCTAATTTTTTTTAAGGTAATAGACTGTGTCTTGATATTTGACTATCTACTAGACAAACTTAAAACGTTTTTTCTAATCCATCGCACCGCAATAAATAATTCTTCCTGAGATTTAGATGCCTCTTCTTGTTGAATAAATAAATTTCTTCCGAAGCCTCTAAAACATGCGGATGTAACCTTTTCGCACCACTTTCGCATTGGAGTCATTCAACCTTTCTTTTTAATAACGCCTAACCTAAAATATCGGGGCGTACGCGCCAATAAATTCACTTGAAAAAACATTAGACTTTATTGAGTAATTCATAAAATCATAAAATCGAATTCAAAATTACGAAATTATTTGAAATTGCTAGAAACGAAGGAGGCACCAAAGAGATTCCCAGAAAAAGTATAGAAATCTCAGCTGGGTCCCCTTCTCAATACTTTAAATATTTTAAATAAATGCGCTTACCGTCAATAAATGTAAATTTATAACTTTGTTAAAATTTTTTAAAAGAAAATTTAAAATTTTAAAATTTTTTTTGATTTTTCTTATTTCACTTTTATGTATATGTTTAACAAATGTCTTTTTCTAATTTCTAACCTCTTTTTCTTGCCTTTTTTTAAATTTTTTCTTTTCGCAAACATCTATTGCTTCAAGCTTCTTACTGTGAAATGATTTTGAATCGGCGCCATCTGGTTTTTCTCCTTGCATCCGTTCCCAATTAGAATTCCCTTTTGTGGTGAATGGAGAGAGCAAAGAAATTACGGACTTGTTTTCAATAAATGCAAATAAAGAAAACAAGAAAGAAGATGACAAGAAATTTTCTGATTTGATTGCATTGGTGCGGTGATTGCACGGAGTTTCTTAAATATGTACCACTACGTTCAACTAGAAATTTAACAGAAAGAGAACCATTTTAATGTTAATCTAACTTATCCATTTCAATGTGGGTCATATAACAAGCGCTCGTACAGACGTTGGTCCAGTATTAGAGATCGCGTTTATTTTTATTGTTGATGTCTAAATATTGTATACAAATTAATGAAACTAAATAAATTTTTAAAAAATTAAAAAAGTTTTATATTGAAACGCAGTTATTGAAGCGGCTCAGTGTACCTTTGTATCCGTGTAATGGAGTATGCACCGCACTAAAGGGTATTCTGACTCTATAACGACGTTTCCTACCTTTCATAAAATGTGATACAATGAGCGATTGCGAGTGTCCAATACGTTTACAAGATCGAACAAGTTTTCATAATATCTAGCTACAAGCGTTTCAAGATCTGTCAGCTGGTTATTATAATTATTCCTTCAAAAATTTATTTCGAAACTAATCAAACCTGTAGATGTGCGAAGTCGTTGATAGCGTAAATAGATTGGATTTCGATTATGTCCGTTAAGGACCTGTTGACATGAATTATTTGAAAAAATTACCTAAACAGATGTAAGACGGTAAGTACTGTAAAATTCGGTTTAAACCTTTGCATCTATGATTGTTTGAAAAGTAGACCGAAACTGCTGGCACATTTTAATTGATGACGTGAAACATAATTACTTTGCGATAAGGAATGAACAGAGCGAAGCTAAGAGAAGCCAACGTTAGAGAAGAAATAATTCAGCGGTTTTCTCCTATGCTTAGAATGAGTTTCTGGTACAGCAATCTAATTACCATTAAAAATAAAATTAATAGAGAATAGCTTTTCATTTGTAATACGCGGACTGCTCGTTAAGATCTAACGTCGGCTGGCAGAGGGTTAGGAGGTACTACTATTTATAGTTTAATTACCAGCAAAACATTGCGATTTAACTTGAATTTAGTTAACACTTGTCTTAAAGTTTGCTAGATCTCCGGTAACAATTGTTGCGTGTGTGCAATGTCAGAACCGAACCGCGTTAA